TTTCGATTTTAGCTACCCAAAATCTATAAAAATCGTCTACTGCGGTCTCAGTTGCTCTCCGAAAATTTTTTTTGTGGTCCTGTGTATTATATCTTTAACTAGACTTTTTCTCTTAGCAACTTTTAATTCAGTAAGATTTTCTGGACTTTCAATGTTTGAATCTATTACATCTAACAAATCGTTATTCATTAACTCGGATTTTAAATAATCCATCCAAAGATCAAAGTTATATTTTTGCGTCAGCTTATATTTTCTTCTAATATGCAACCTTTGATTGTTTAATTCTACTTCTGAAGTTCTTTTAATTGTCTCTAAACTTCTGTCTTTTTCGGCTGAACAGACTGTTGTTTCATCTAACTTTCTCTTTTTAAACTCTACTTCTAATTCTTTAACCGTTTGTGTACTGTTCTTTACTGAATTCTGCGCATTTTTATTGCTTGCCTCTAAACGTTTAAGTTTTACTTTCTCTTTTTCGAGATTCGCAAGGGAGACTTCTACCATATTTTCCATCATTGAATTAGCTTGGGCCATAACTTTTTTCAGTTTTTCAACGACGCTTCTAATTTATTAGATACTGCATCTATCTTCACTATTGGTTGTTCCTGTTTTTCATATTACATTCGACTTCCTATAGGTGGTATATGGCGATCTTCTACCCATGCTCTGGTTAAAGTTACATCTTCTCTAATTTTCGGGATCTCTTTGTGTTTTGGTGTTGCACCATTTCCTTTAGTCTCCTTTTTTTTCTCTTTTTTTTTTATACAAAGTTTTAAAAATGCGCATATATATATTATCCTTTTAGATTGCATTATTTTCAAAAAAATACTCTCTTACCTCTATCTTTTTTTATTGTCTCCTCGCTATCTCTTTCTCTCTCTATTACAGTGACCATACTGTCTTCGCTGTCATAGTCTACTAAAGCGTCTTGATTTTCTCCCTCCGTCGAAAGATTCTCTGTCTCTTTTTCCATCTATATCGGGATTTAAATATCAATTGAACATTAGCATTCCTCTTTTGACAAGATAAAACCAACATTCATACAATTGACAGATAATAATTTACAATTTCTATCACCAAATTTCTTTCGGCGACAAAATAAAAACACAATGCTTATGAGGCTATATAGAACGCACTGCAATTCACAACAGCCCCAAAGCGAGAAACCACGCGCCTCTGCAGGGCTATCCGTACGCGCACACCACTCTCCGTTGCGATCCCCAGCACTGCTGAAAAGATCTATGGGAGCTCGGATTGATCACGCACGCGCACAGGGCCCATACAAATTTACGCGGCTTCCCTGTACAGTAATCAAGCTACACTGCACAGCAAGTCCTGCTCAATTACCGACCCGATACATATCGATTTCAAAAAAATAAACTCATATAGAGTCATATAGAGTTTTTATACATACGCATACACTTACATACACATGTATCGTAATCTAGCCATCTAGCATACGGATACATTTACATGTATCGTAATCTAGCCATCTAGCATCGATGCCATATTGTTAGTCAAAATTGATTATGTGTTTGTGCGCGCCCAGCAACAAGTTCCGCGCGTTGAAAAACAAATGACTCGCGTCGTTCGCGATCGGACTTGCACGCGCACGTCGCCGGCTTGTTACCAAGCGGCATCTTTCTATCTTTTTCTATTGTACATATCCTCTTTTAATTTCATCACTCTCTACTTCTATCAAATAGCAAAAGACTTTGTCTTCTTCTAACGGCATTTATCGAACGTTTTTTTTAGCTGGAAATCTCTACTTCTGTACTATACTTTATTTCTATCTCTCAAAAAACAAAAAGAATTTGTCTCTTTCTAACTTTTAACGGCATTTAACGAACGTTCTTATTAGCTGAGAATTCTCTCGTTTTGCTCGTCAGTAACGAGGAATATTATTTACTTACCCTCTAATCTTCTAGATGCTTTTATCTCTTTTTCCTATGCCCTTCGCCGGCGTCTCACACACTATGCACGTGTGTCGTGTTTTTGCTGTGTTCCTCACGCAGGGGAATCGTGCCCTGGGCCATAACCTATTGGAAATATCGCTTGAAACGCTACGGGATATGGCGAGATGGGCAGGAAATAATCTCTTTTACTTATTTCAACACTCTGAGTACACTATTTATTCTATATCACACTTTGTATCTTAAACCGTAATCGACGTCTGAACACGACCGTGATCGAGACTCTTCTGAGCATCCAAGATCCCCGCACGCCACTAACCGGAAGCTGCTCTCTGGAAGGGCGGGAGCGCATCGCTCGTTCAAAGCTCTTTTCACAATAAAATTTATATTTTATATAATTTTAATTATAAATTTTATTATAAGAAATTTTAAGATTTAAAAAATTTTGCTTACCGAATAGAGAGTTGTAGAAATGAGTGTTTTTCAGTACGTAATTTGACAGTTTTATTGCCGTCCATTTCATGGCAAAATCACGATGTAGGAATTTTTTCACTACAGCGATAATAGACTGTTTCATATTTGATCCTATCAACTGCTCTAATACATCTTTCTGCAAAATAATTATATTTACAAATTAATAAAAACTATAACGCAATAGCAAAGCATATACTTACGAAATCCTTCGCGAATTCATTATTTGTTTGTAACTCCGAATCAAATGTTTTAAATTCTTCAGTAAATTGAATTTTGACAAAATTGTATTTTTCAACAAAGGCTGGAGTTGAAATTTGGTTATTTTTGACAAGCATTAAACGCTCGATACCGTTACACAATGCTTGGAAGTCATTTTTCATCAAATTTATTTCAATTGTCAACTTTTTCATGGCGACATAAAGAAATGTTAAAGCTGACGGAACAATCGAAATATTAATACAATTTAGCAACATAAATAAAAGTAATCTAGATATTTCATATATAAAATGTTTATAAATTATTATAAGAATATTAATCACTTTTTTTTAATGAAGTTGTATCTGTAGACATTTCCGAGAATTCTACATTCAGTGCGTCAGAAAAAACGTTAACGTCCTCAGAAGCTGAATTGAAATGATAAAAGGTTAAAGAGTAGGAAAATACACGTATGTCATGAACCTTTTTCTGGTAAATTGACTTATGAATAATCCGTAAGATCATGTTTATTAAGCAAAATAATTTTTGATTTTTTATATATTTCATTCTATTTTCACTTAATAACGAGAAGAGCAGCTTTGAAGAGAGCATACAATCTGTGTTTTACATTGTAGGTATACATCATCTCATAATACATTTTACCAAAATTCTTCAACATAAATTTTCAAAATGGAAAATCTTTTTCCACAATAAAAGACTGTATGTTTTCGAAAGACGCTCTTCTCGTTATTAGGTGAAAGCAGAACAAAATATATAAAAAATAAAAAATCATTTTTTGGTTGCTCAGTTTGGTCAATAAACATGAGCTTACGATTCCCTCTTAAATACAATTAAACAAATTCTATAACTAAAAAAAAATACCTTGTTCTTGAATTGTTTCAATAGTAGTACTCGAATTTTTAACTGTCTTCTTATTAGATTTTCGTAGGCTTGATGTAAACGATGTATTTGATATGTTATTTTTGACAGAAGACATGTATGGTTCATTAATTATATTTTTGTATTGTTTTGATTTCTTTAAAACTGTTTGAGATTTTGACTTTTTCTGGGTAACAGGTTTTTTCAGTGTCTTCTGTTTCATGTTGATATTGCGTTTCGGCTTAGTTGGTGTAGGTGTTTCATCGGAATCTTCAACTACAAATTTTTTTTTGTCTTTTGTTTGTCTTTTCCATTCTTCATCAGAGCTAGATGTGTCTGTATAACCTTAAAAATGATAGACAAATGTTAAAAATATCATTAATACTTCTCTGCTAATTAATAATAGATCTATCTTTATTTTCCAAGTACTTGGTTTAGATGATGACTCATTATTCTCTTTAGACAGCATTTTTTCAACATCTGCCCGAGATTTCAAACTTTCTATTGCTTTTTGAGTTTTCTCTATCCCTCGTGATTCAGAATCTGTCGTGTATAGTTGGACTTGGAGAATATTTAACTTACTCATTTCTTCTTTATATGAATCTGTAAATAAATTTCCTTTGTAGTTAATTCTGCAATCGTATACATGGGTCGTTTGCGAAAAACATTGTATGGTTATAAAACACTAAAAATACAATATCTAAATATAACAAAATTTTATTTTTTTTATTTTTTTCATTTTTAAGTATTTATATTATACAAATTTAAAAAAAATATATTTATTATAATATTTTTTACGGATATTTCTGATAGATTGACTTATAAAGGCTTCTCTGCCTACTCGCCTCTTCTATCCTTGTTGGATGACGTCAGAAGCGAGAAATCGCATGCCAAAAATTCTTGCGGTTTTACGTTGAAATAAAAAGATATATTTATAAAACCCAATTGTAATTGATTTGTACATTTGTAAAATATACCGAACTTTCCTTTGGCTTTAATAATCACTAAATAGCCGTAAAATTAATGCGACATGCAATCTACCTTTTTAACATACAGTCTTTTTTCATTTTTCATTTTACAGCTATTTATTGATTATCAAAGCCAAAGGAAAGTGTTCGGTATATTTTACAAATGTGTTGAATCAATTACAATTGGGTTTTGGCCCGTATTCAGAACGCGCTTACAACGATGTTAGCGCGAGATGTTAGCGCTCTTATTAGCGCGCGTATTCACAACGCAATGATAGCAGCGCTCTGTTAGAGAAAATCGATAATCACGCGAGTTTAGTGCAAAATTGCTATTCAGAACTACTACAAGTCTTAAAAGCGTGCTAACATATTGATATCTTAGCAGCGCGCGATAAAAGTGGTCAGGGGCATGTATAAGCAGATACTACTAACCTAACAAGTTGTGCCAGATATTTATAATAAACAGAAAATGGAATACATTCGTGCAATTAATGAAATACGGGAAGTGCGGGATGTTGTGCAAATAGGAGAAAGGATGCCGCAGGTTTTTCGTCACAAGATGGATCCATTCGAAAGATTTAATGATATTCAATTTTGGAATCGCTACAGACTGTCAAAAGAAGCAGTGCGATTTGTGATAGGCTTAGTTGAAGAAAGGTTATCTTCTCAAGCAGGGCATGAGAAGGATGTGTCATCAGCGTTACAAGTGTTGATTGCTTTACGATTTTACGCCAAAGGATGCTATCAGACGGAATTAGGTTTGTATTATTTAATTTAATTAATATTCTGTATATGGTTAAGTTATTAGATGAACTTTTATAAAAGTAAAAAATAGAAAAATAAAATTTATATAAATTATTTTGTAAAATTTATATAAATCATTACATTAATATTTATATATCAATATAAAAATGTATATATTTATTTTTGTAAATTATATAAAAATGCACAATTATAAATATGTATATGTATTCTTTATTATATAAACTTATAAATTTTTATATGTCATTTCAGGTGATCTGCATGGAGTATCACAGCCAACAGTATCCAGAATTGTGGCAAAAGTATCGAAAGCCATCGCAGCTCATCTGCCACACTTTGTACATTTTCCAGATATAATGGAAGCCTTGAAAATGGAATTTTACAACATAGCCGGTTTCCCACAAGTTATTGGATGCATTGATTGTACTCATATACGTATTAAATGCCCCAACCAAGAACGAGCTAAGTTGTACATAAACCGGAAAGGCTTCTATTCTATAAATGTGCAGGTGGTTTGCGATGCACAGCGTCGAATTCTAGATATTGTTGCCAGATGGAGAGGCAGTGCTCATGACTCCCGAATATGGAACTCAAGTCGTCTGAAGGAGGAGTTTGAGGTAATTATAATTATGTAAAGTCTACACAATTATATTCATAACGAATATTTATAATAAATATTTATATCTCTAATTATATTACAAGAATATTTATTTACATAACAAGAAACTCATATACATATGTTATTTATATTACAAGAACGCAGAATGACAGGAATATTGTTAGGTGATGCAGGTTATCCTTGCAGACCATATCTGTTAACACCTTTTCTACAGCCTCAAACTGATACTCAAAATAGATATAATTGGGCCCATATTCGCACTCGTCTTACCGTCGAAAGATGTTTTGGCGAATGGAAAGGGATGTTTAGAGCACTACAAAACAATATGCAGATTAATCTGAAGACAGCAAAGGTTGCAATTATTACTATGGCAATTCTCTTCAACATACGAAAACAATTCAACAACTTCGAATATGGTAAGCGCATATCTTAAATCAAAAACATAATAAAAAGATCCTAACTATAATGTAAAAAATATTATATTAAGAAATATTACATTAAGAATAAATCTACATATATTAACATATAAATATAAATATATATGCGTAAATGAAACTCATTCAAGTATAACATTACTGCATTTAAAATATGACATGCTTTTGTTACAGAAATTGATGATGAAGAAAATCAAAGCGATGAAGAGCAACCTGCTGTTGTTCCACATGCAACAGAACGACCTGGAGCAGCATTCCGTTTGGATTTTGCACAACGGCATTTTAACTGATCAGTTCTTGCAACGTTAACATCATATTTTTTATTGCAACTGCTTGAAAATTGCCTTCTTCAAGAGAAAGACAAGATATCACAACATGATCATGTTCACAGTTAATTTCAAAAATAATTTTATTTAATATTTACTCCATATTTACTCCTATTATTTAATATGTACTCCATTTTAAACTACATTTTTCTTAAACAATTTTTTCATCTTATTTTCTATATCTTAATATTGTGTTATCATTATAATATTTTGTTCATATAAAAACTAATATATTTATGCCTATATATTTGTCAATGTTTGTTATTTATATTACATTATTTAAATTCTCTAATTTTTTATTTAATTCTATCTTTAAAAGTTTTATTATTAATTGTTGCACTTTTTTTCTCTTCTATTAATTCTAAATTCTTATTGTGTTCAATTTCTAAGAGTTTTAGTTTCAATTCGTGTTCAATTCTGTTTCGCTCATCTTCTTTACCCAGTTTTTCTTTATGCAAGTGAAACATTGCTTCTTCAAATGCTGACATTTCTTTTTTCTTTCGCTTTACATAAACATTATCCTCTGTGGGGTTATTGGACACCTGTACTTCATCCGTCGTTTCTTCAAATGGTTCTTCAGCAGGTACTAAGATTCTAAATCAAATATAATAATTACAAATAAAGTCTGATAAAAATACTATTTATAAATTAAATATAAATTTGCAGAGAATGTAGGAATTAACAATAAAGATTATTAATATTATGTATTTTTAATATTTATATTCCTAATGTACTATATATTATTCTTACCCTGTATTGGGATCCAGCAAATAGTTTTCTGTATTTTGTTCTGATTGCTGTGTATTGCATATCGGCCTCTATATAAAAGTAGAGAAAATTATAAATATATTTTATTTTGTATATTTTGAAGTGCAGCAAGAAATATAAAACTTTACCGTTCCATCGGAATCAAACATATTTTCGTCTTCCTCGAAATCTTCCGGTACAATTTCCCTTAACATATCATCCAAAGGGGTAAGCTCTGGACCACCACCAGTACGGTGTAATGATCTTTTATGCGCTGCATAATTTTTCTTTGCTTGCATTTTCCATCGTTGATATGCACCGCGTACCTCCTTCCAATCGCGTGCAATTCCTCTTGAGGAAAGGGTGTTGGCAATTATTTTCCATTTCTCCTGCCGAAGATTTTTATTGTTTACAGAATTGCTCTTATCTTCCAGAATACATTTATTCTGGAAGACAAAATCAATTATTGCTTTTTTCTCATCAGCAGTAAAATTTTCCTTCCTTTTATCTGTCATTTCTAAAAAAAAGAACACTTATATATATGAATTAACATGAATAAGATTGACTAACAATAAGTAACAATAATAGGCGATTTTTGGCGTGACTCTGGTATAAGCAACCAAAGGGTACCAAATTGCACCAAAACCAATAGCAACCACCGATAGCAACTTTAGTATATGTACCAAACCATACCAAACGATCGCCAAAAATCGTCTAATAATGATAATATGTAAAGAAATGTACTTACTCTGTATTGTACACATTGTGATAATGTCAACGAACAGTTGAACATCGCAGTTGTACTTTGCGCGCGAGTGCCACGAGTAACTCTTGCCGCATCCACATAACGCAATATGAAAAGAGCCAATAGCCATATCCGAGCACTGTTATTGGTTGTTATCGCGTGTTTAGGTAAGGACGCTCTGTTCTTGCGTTCTGAATACGAGCGCTAACAAACGCATCTACATCTCGCGTATTTAGAAGCGTAGATGTGAGCGAACGTGTTAGCGCGTTCTGAATACGGGCCTTGCGTTTACTCAGGAACGGTTCTTGGTCTAATATTTCAACATCTTTCCAATTGAAGTCATGGTTATACTGCAATCTGTGGTCTGTTAAGACCGAATGACCCGCACCACTCCTTCTGATATGAGAGTTATGTTCTTTAACTCTCGTTAAAAGTTGTCTCCCTGTCTGACCGACATAGGAAGCCTCACAATCATTACAATTAATTTTATACACGACATTCCTATGCGATAATCCAGGGAGAGTATCCTTATGAACTCTGATAAATCTGTTCAATTTATTAAGACTGAAATACGAGATCTTTATATTAAGAAATATTAGACCAAGAACCGTCCCTGAGTAAACGCTTAATATCTGAAATAATTTACATAAAAAGGCAAAGAGAAGGTTTAAATTTGCAGACAGATACGGAAGATATACCACAAATGTATATTAGTGCCATCGACGGACTTGTTAAAGTCTAGAATTATTGCTGTTACGCAGACTTTAAATATTGTTGTTACGCGTGACCTTTCCCCTCGCTTCCCTATGTCGTCGATATCTTGTTTAAGGCAAGCGTGCCATTTTCTGCGTGAACGTCCCCGGAGGTACACCGATCTCTGTTGATTGACGGGCGTTGCGACTTGACTATTATCCATTATGTTAAATCTGTGAGTTACTTTGGTTGATATCTATTGTGTTCCTGGATGAATATTGAGAGAGGACGGTACTCCGATTTTGTCCACAGGCGTTGCGTCACAATGTCAACGACATTACATCCGGTTGGAAATTTCCTGGCGCTCCAACCAGGAAATTTTTATGCGACGATATTCTGGAACGTGTCGGAGTGCACACATAACTTGACTGACCAGCGATGATTTGTTGTTAACGGCGGTAGACTATCTGTATGTATGTTTGCGACGTCAGACCACTTTTGTATTAATTTTTATATGTAAGATTTACGCTGAGGAGGACCCCAAAGAAGGGTCGAAACGTTCGTTCGTTAATTTTGACTTGTGAGAATAAAGTTTAATGGTTTTACGTCACGCTTGTGCACGTCTATTAAGCTGACACAGCCAATTCAGCACAATCGATTAAAATT